CTTGAAACAAATAATCGATGATGCTTATGTAGCGTTGTTAGTGATAAATCGTCAATCATGAAATAGGCAAAGGCAACAGGAGACGTCGTGGTGGGAGGAGAGAAAGAGGATTTCCAAAAATGTGTCTATGTGGGGAAGAAGCTGAGATTAGAACATCAGGAACAGTTAAAAATCCAGGGAGGCTCTTCCATTGTTGTCCATATGGATCTGAAACGGTAATTAATCATCTCTGAAACTTTAATTTGAATTTATATTGAGTTATAATTGTATTTTTGAAGGATAAATCTCATCTTTTCAAATGGACTGATGAGAGTGTGGTGGAAGAGATTGAAGATTTGAAGGTTGTGGTTAATGATCTAAAAGGTGAAATAGCAGATTTGAAAGCTGATAGAGTTGGATTTGAGAAGGAGTTTGCAGGAATGATGAAGAAGGGAATACTTGAATTGGAGAGAGATAGAAATATTGGTTGTTGTGTTGTTATGTAAGATATGATTCGGTTGTTGTGTTGTATGTAAGATGTGATTTTTTTTTTTTGGTTAAGAACGTAAGGATTGAATGCAAGGATTGGAAGTGTTGTTACTACTTTATCAAAACGAAAGAGTAAGTTATTTAAATACCAAAATAGTCGAATAACATGTGTTTTAAGCACCAAAAAGTTCAACAAATCCCACTACCATAGATGTTTGCAGACATCTAAAACAAGCAAAATAACTGATACACCAACATAAGCAAATATAAGACACCGCATATCTCCAACAGTCCATCAACTCTGACTTGGCTGAGTTTGAGAAGGACCTTCACCAGCACTGACTGCAATTTCCTCTTGTCTTGTAGTTTTCTGCTTCTTAGGTGGTCGAGGCTTACGAGGAGCTCCATAATTTACGCACATAGTACAATTATGCTCATCGGAACCACAGCGAGAACAATGCATTACACGAGCGTGTTGGGTTACCTTTTTCCCTTTAGTGGGAGACTCGTTAACTCCCTTGATTCTTTGTTGAGGCTTCTTTTTACGCCCTTTAGATAACTCTCTCGGTGGGGCATGTATTGTTGACTCCCCAGATGGTTTCCAGAACTTGATTCCTCTTACTGGTTTTATGGAGTCTGAGTATTGCTGCTGCCACTTAGAAGTTAGATACCAATGTGAAACCAAATTGTCGGTCTTATAAGTCTTCTTGTGATCCAATACAATCCGAAGAGCATGTCTACAAGGAATCCCAGTCAAATCCCACCTCCTACAGCTACATGTCCTTGATTTCATATCAACGGCATATCGCATTCCATTCTCAGAGACTTCAAACTCACCAGTAGGTCCAGGAAGAGATGTACAATATTTCCGAAATCTTGTCTCAGATTCAATCATGTTACTAACCTTCAAACTGTACTTCCCCTTGTGCTTCTGAATTTTCTTCTTCCTTAGATCAATACGCTTCATTGCTAGTCGTCTCATTGTCTCTAGCATCTCAACCAGTGGCATTGCACGTGCTTTCTCAAGTGTCTTATTGTATGACTCTGAATTGTTGTTGAGAGCATCTTCACAACAACATGTTGTCGTAAAAAAGGCCCTACAACAAGTTTCGGGATTTCTTGCCATTAATGCATTATAGACCTCTTTATCATAATCCTCCAACTCTTTCATACTTGCTTTGTAGTCAGCTTCGTTGTGACTTTCAACGACACTCCAGAACAATTTCTTCATCTGAGGCTTGTTTGGATATACCTTCCTTAAGTTCCCGTAGATATGCCTTGCACACATCCTGTGTTCAATTTTTGGCAACTCCTCATCCACAGCTATAAGCAAACCCTTTTGTTTATCTGAAACAAGTGTGAAACCATCACCATTTCCAAGTTTCAAATCTTTCTTCAGATTTTGGAGGAACCAAACCCATGTGTCAGTATTCTCTTTATGCACCACGGCCCAAGCAAGAGGGTAAATCTGGTTGTTTGCATCCCTTCCCACAGCAGCTAGAAGTTGGCCCTTAGCTGTTGTTTTGAGGAAACACCCATCTATGCCAAAAATAGGTCGACAAGAGGCTAGCCATGTGTCTCGCAGAACAGCAAAACAAACGTAGAAACGATCGAAAACTTCAAGTTCAGCAGCCCCAATAACGGTTCTAAGATCTGTCGATGATCCTACATTTCTCCTGTCCACCACGAAATAAACTTAAACACTTAGAGTACACATATATCTGTTAAAAAAGGAAAAAAAAATATCAGTGACTTACTTTTTAATTTCTATTTCGTAGTCTTTGATCCTGCGAAATTGTTCGTCATACTCCGCTTGAATGAGGTTCAAAGCTTTCTTCTTCGCCTTTTGACATTGATCAATAGATGGATTCAGATCGTAGCGCAACTGAATCTGATCCTGAAATACTTTGGGCTTAATTTCTGGATCCTCCCTAACCTCATTCAAGAACATCCTTGCAATGCGTGAATCTGATAATATCTTGCAGTGTCCATCTTTGAAACAACTATGGACATCTTGAAAAGTCTTCACCATCCATTGTGAAACAGATTCTTCAAACGAGCAATAAATCCTCCAAGAACATGGAGTTTCGCCTTCATCAACTTCTACTCCACATTTTGCCTCAGATTTTTTATTTCCCCATCTAGTGAATTGGATATTCCAACCTCCTTTTAATGCATACTCAAAGACAGCTTCTTTAAAATCTTTGATGCTATCAAAAACTTGTCTTATGTGTAACTCTCCACTGCCTCTCTTCCATCCTTCATAAGGTCTGCGGTTTTGCTCTTTTTCGTCGTCAGAACAAGGAGGAGTGTCTCTGTAATTTTCATTTTCTTCTCCATCAGAAATCTCACCTACAACAGCTTCTACACGAATGTCCTCTTCAAACTCATCCTCCCCATCTTGATTATCATCTTCTCCAGCCTCTTCTGTCTCGCCAATATCATGCCATTCTTCTTGCACCTCTTCATTCACTACTTCATCTTCGACATTTTCATGCTCCATATAAATTTCAACAAAATTTGTACAACGAGCAGCTTGACACATCAGTCGAAAGGTGTCACTATCATTACCCAAGATTTTCAGATCCTTCGTTTTCTCATAAGGTAGTTTGTACCAGAATCTTTGACCAGACAAAGACATTGGGAAATCCTCCATCAA